AATGAAAGCTTCAGCTGATGGCAAGATCATCATCAAGATGATGCACACTTGTAGGACATGAAGCATTCTTTGCTATTATGTAAGTAATCCAGAAGAGCAGAAAGATACCGGCTTCTTCCTTCAGCTGTCCTCTGAACCTCTCTTAGAAGAAAGTGCATATGAAGCAGGGGTATTCTTACAGGCTGCAGACCTCTTGGTTCAAATATTTCCTTTACCAGCAGTCACACACTGGACCTCACAAAAATGTTTTATTTCAGTTCACCTTACTGTCTAATTAACTTTTCACATTTTCTAGTTTTGACTACTTGTGTTCACTAACAGTAGTTACAGAGAGAAATAATGGATCAGTTTAAGAAAATAATTATAATAGGCCACACTCCATTACTGTTATTAATTGAATTTTCCCATCGAGGGTTGACTGTTAACCCATTGCTGTCTTATATCTGAAAGAGATGATAATAGTCTTTGAAAAGCAAATTAAAATAACTAACAAACTCTGTATATTCACTTATTTTGACTGTCATTCTACTCTATAGCATTTTCTAGTCACAGTCTACAGGTTTGGACTGCTGAAAGAAAAAAAAAATAGTTTAAGAGACAAGAATGTTTTTCAGATAGTTTATTGCATGAACTTACTGTACAGAATTGCCTATATGGACAACCATAAATACAGGCTCAACAGTACTGCTGACTAAAAGCAATTTACTCATTTGAAGCTTATGAATGTAAAACTTCTCTTAAACAAAAAGCCAGGCTCAGGTTCAACAGGATTTAGTTTTGAGAGTAAACACATTAAAAGATATATGTATTTTTAGTAAGAGAACCAGTATAGAGACCTGTCTGAGCCAAAAAGATGTTTTATGACAAGGTACTCAAGCTACCTGTGCCTCAGGTTTCCCAGAAAGATAAGGAGGATAATAGCCTTTTTGCCCTTACACTGGATTGTGAAGCTTAACTCATAAAGAGTCTTATCCAAAGCTATTAAAGCCAATAGAAGCCTCTCATTGACTTTAATTAGCTTTTGTTCAGGTCCTTTGCAAGACAGCTGAAAGACTGCCATTGACTTCAAGCCCTAATTTTATAAAGCCCTTTCATATCCTCAGCTTGGAGGCATTTTGAAACGTAGAAATGTAGTAAGAAGAGTATTATATTTATGAAACAAATCCTTATAAGATAAAATTGAACTTTTTTTAACTCTGAGTGTGTTATTCAGTGGATGTGTGTACATCCAGGAATACATATATATGTTACTGTATGCACTTATTAATAACTATTTCTCAGATAGAATTCTCTGACATGTTGGGTGCGTAACCATCTCTGCACTGCTGAATGCCAACTCCCCAAATCTGATCTGGATGAAGTACAGTTTATAATGACATTTCCCTTGATTTAGCCAGAGTGCCAGATCTAGAATATAAATTGTCATTTTGTTGTTATGCTGGTATTATCCTGGCTTTGTAAACAAAGACAATAACTAATTTGGCATAAAGTTGAACTCTTTAAAATCTTTAAGAAATTTGAAGCAGGAGAGTTTTATACTTGATAAATTCTTTATAACGTGTGTCCTGCATTTCTGATCTAAGAAAGAAACAGCATTGCCAGGAACAGTAATGTTACATTTCCTATGCTGTCAAACTACAGCCTCATAGCAAAAAGCCCTCTCAAAACAGGAAAATTACCAGAATTGAAAACAAAAAGGAGAAACTTTAAAAAGTACGATCATAATTATATAAGCTATTTATTATTAGGTTCCTCTAGCATGTCAATTAAGAAATGCTAAATTCATATCATAAAAGTTTGACTTCATTGTATAAGAATTTGAAAACAGTAACAGCTAATTCAGTAGAAATCTCATTCTAGTCCAAGTAATTGAAATAAATTTCCAGTGATACGTAATTTTTTCTCCCCTTAAATAATAGTAGAAAGATGCAAGTTCTCTGAATATTTATTGGCTTCTACTCAAAACAGCTATTTTCAGCATTATGAATGGCTGACATGACATATTTCCAAACCTGAAATACAGCAGTATCAAAGCAATAGTATTATATAACACCTGCCACTCTGAATTGCACAAAACATTTTTTTTTTTAAAGACAACTTACAATAAACATGGACTACCTAATTTAGTCCAATACTCTGGAAAGGAAACTAATATTTAAGTTTTGATCATATAGAGAGTTAACAGCATTTCTAATTCAGCAAATGTTCTGTTATTTTTGTAATATCAGTTATTAATTTTATTTGAAGACACGACTAAGCAGAAAGGATATATTAAACCTTTACAAATTTTACTTAAAACATTTTCTATTTTATTTACACACTTCAGGAAAATATCTCTTTAAGCCTTAACATTCCAATTTTAGTCCTATAAAACCATGCAATATAATATATAAAAAATTTATTTTATAATACTTTTATGAACTAAGTAAAGATAATTTAATTTGCCAAGGTTTTACATTTTAGAAATTCATATCTCTCTAAAGGTGCATCTAAATTAGAACTTGATTGGTATCAGGGTTTTTGCTTTATCAACCTAACCCATTAGGCCATTACACATACAGTTGTTCTCCAACAGAAGAAAATATTCTAACATCTGCTCTCAATCTGTTTTTCCTTAATTTCCTTTTATACCCCATGTAACTCATTAAGCTCATCTACGAAACATTACTGTGTCTGACTGTTTACAGACAAATGTCTATATATGCCTTTTCACTATAAGATTGCATGAAAATTGAAAAAAATTGTAAGGTACCACATAATCCAGTTTAAAAATACACTATATTCACTGAAACTTTTGATCCAAGAATATATCTGGTTTTGTCAATTCAGAATTGTGATACATGTAAGAGTCAACCTAATCTCTTAAGTGACCTATATTTTAACAAAATGAGAAAAATGTGTTGATGTCTTACCGTTGTTCAGTCTCTTCTTTAAGACTGCTACAGTCTTATGAGAGAAAAAGTGTTTAACTTAAGAAGAACACACCTTCTGGTTTGAAGAGGGTGATTTTAATATTTCAATTCACTTGTGCAAGTGATCTCAGGAGTATAACAGACAGAGGAGTAGAAAGCATCCCATTAACCTAAAATCTAACATGTGTGTAGAATGGAAAAGAATCTGGAGTCGAGTGTTTCCTTTTAAATATACTTTCCATTTTCTTCTGCAGATTAAATTTTTCAGTATTTTATTATTCTCAAGCTAGTTTCCAGCCCTGTGATATCTTCTGCCCCCTTTTGCCTGTATTCAGTGTTTGCTGCTCTAATTTAATTTCAGAGAAAAATACATATTTACACTTGACCTGTCCATACTGTATTTATCAACATAATACAAATGTCATTCTTTCCACAGAAGCTAAAGAATTCACTGTCAAAAATGTCTTACTAGTCCTCGAAAGATGTCACTTCTGTAAGAAAAGTGGCACACTATCCAATATTAGCTATCAGCTGTTGACTAATGTAAGGTCAAAGACTAGTAAAGAAGATTCTCTAATATTTATAAACATCAGTAAATTAAGTAAAAAATGGAGGGCATTTAGATTTACTCCAACATGTTATCTTATACAAAAGCTGCATGGTGACTACCTTGAGGATTTTACCTTCTATTAATTCCTGTGTGAGCAGCTGTAAATCTGACACCAATGCCCAACTGTTAAAGTTTCCTTATGCTCTGAGTATACGTTGGCAATATATTTGTAAGTGAAAAGAAGATTAGTGGCTGTATGGCTAAGATTTGTCTTGGGAATAGAGAGAAAGACAGAAAAGGAAAGCCTACTAAGGGAAGGAAAGAGATACCTGTACAGGATAGACTGAATTAAATCCCGATGGAAAGAACCTCTGAAACTAGATGTTAGAAACCTTAGAAGATAATAGCAGGAAAATAAAAATGAAAAAATTAGCAAGAAATACAAGCACAAAAATAAGTGAGACAAAGCAAAAGAGAGACAACGGCATCACATACTGCAAACTGGGCAATAGGCCTTTTTTGCATTTTTTCCCTAAGAACAAATCATTTCAAGTTAATAATTGCGCTAAATTTCCAGAACCCAGACAAACTCATAATGTCCTTGGTGTCATTAATTCATGTAGAGTCAGTAGGGCAACTTCTGGATGAATAAGTTATGAAATGCACAAGGTTGGAAAATTCTAGCCATGACAACTTCCCTCTGACAGCCAGTGGGTTTTTATAATGTTAGAAGAGTATTCTCCCTTAAAGACACATGTCAAGAAACTGCATATGGAATAGAGCAAAAAGGATTTGCATTTCCACAGCAGGATGCACAGCTTACAGAACTATTTCCCGCATGCTAGATTAAGTTAAAACAAGAACAAGAATCCACACAAAGTGTAACAAAACCAAAACCAGACCAAAACTGGAGTGCAGAGAAAGCATTCACTGTCTTCCTGAAGAACAGATGCACACTTTTACCAGTCAAGAAACAGACATTTTAGGTTATGTTTTGTCATTATTCAATATAAAATTGGTCTTATATAAAGAAAATTTAAATATTTATTCTGGGGGAAGTTTTGAAATGGCGCTACTGTTGTCCACAGACCAATTTAACAGTTAACACTCACTAAACACACTTACAGTTTCCTAATTCTTTAACACAGCACTGGCTCTAAAGCAAAACCAAGCTCCCAGGAAGGAACAATTCCAAATTGTATCAGCTGGCAACATGTCCTTAGGGAGCATCTGTCAGCTACAGGGAGCTGGCTCACCCTCTGGATAGTGTTCCACTACATCCCTCCAAATTTAAAATCTCTACCACTTTTCTTTCCATGCCTGGAAATTAAAATGAGTCTTTATTCTTTTTATAACAGTTAAGAGCAAACTCAGTCTTTGCTGACCAAGATATTTTATGAAGCCTAACAATTCTCACAAAAACATAATAAAAAGGCAATCATAATCAATTTCTACTTCTTGTGTTGCACAAATGACCCAGGAGACATGAACTGCTTTTTAGTTGAAAGGTGTAAATGATGTACAGAGAATTGACTTACCGGGCCAAAAGCATTGCTGTCAAAGCTGTGTCCATGGTGGTCACCCTCCACCCAAATATGCCCATGTGGAACTTTCACATACTTCTTTTTGTATCCAATGGTTCTAGAGAATTATTACAAAAACAGCTAATCAGTTCAAAAGAAAAATGTCCAATGTTTTGTTAGGAAAATTCACATTTTTATGGTTTTGGAATTTGACCTTGCATACAATCCTCTTGCTTAAGATACCTGTGCTGAAGTCCTTCAGACCTCAATAGTGCTACTGAAGGGAAAATACATAATTTTGTATGAGCTAGTTGCATCAGAGACTGTTTACTACATTGTTTTGGCAGAAATCGCATCACAACAGGGAACAAAAGCCTTTTCAATTAACTATAATTAAGGGATTCTTATTTCCATCTCTGTTGTAACATTTCTTTGAAAGAGTTTGTCTCAGGTAAATGCCAGTGGACACATGTTGCAGTCACATAAAGGTATTGCATTGAGAATGCTTTTTTTCTGGGGTAGTATTGGGTATTCATCAAAAATAGTCTGGCATATTTGAACTGGCCTTAGGTTTGGAGCTTGGATTCCTGTAATGCTTCTGGCCTGAGGGTAGGATGTCTTTAGCTGTTACAAGCTAAACAGGATAAACTTAAAGCAAATATCTAAGAGAAGGCCAAGTGCTGCAAAAAAAGACATTGATGATTCAAGCCATTCTCCACAGAAATTAAAACTGAAGTGGTGCCTCAGCATGCCCTGATATTACAAAAATTAGTAACTACAGATGTGTCCTAAAGCTGAGGTGCAGAGGATGCAAAATTCCTGTATTTAGTTCCAGACTAGCTGTCATTTTCACAATTCCAGTCTTCCCTCTACCACACATTTTTGCTTGCTTTCAGATGGGATCTGTTGTTCTGCAATCATTCATGCAGGGAGGTGATTTTATCATACACTTTGAATTATTATCAAGATGAAGCATTTACAGACGGGACTACAGATAGTGATACCTCTTATTTTGCTTTGGATAACCAAGTCTGTCCATAGACGGCAACAGACTTTAGATCTAGCTTGTTGCCTCCAGCTGCTCATCACTTTTCACTGTCTGGAAGATATGCCCCCAAAGCAGAAGCAGAAGGAGCACACTCTAAAGAAAATCAATTGAAGAGAGAAAATTGCCTTCATTGGGAGATTCAGCTGACCTGTGAAACAGCACTGATCACGGATGTCCACAGGTCAAAATAGTAAAACGGTTTTTGGTGAGATTTGTTTGGCTTGGTGGGGGATGTGAGTGTGAGGATGTTATAAGGACAAGCTAATTAATAACCTGGAGATCATGAAATATTAGATGAATAAGAAATCCTCAAAAATGCATTTGATTAACTTTATTTGACTTCATTAGTCAAATAAAAAGAATAATTATTTACACTGCAATTCACAAAATCCAACCGGTGCTTTTTTAAACACCTTCAGAGGCAGCTGAAAGGATGAGGGTGCCAGAAGTATATTCTGATGGAAATCTTACCCGTGCTTTTATTGGAAGCTGAAAAATAATAGCCTATTTGCAGAAAAAAAGATTCTGATTTTCATCTTTCTTTAGTGCAGTTTCATATTACACAGTATTCAAAACTAATTTCCTAGACCATTCAAAACAAAAATGCAAAACTGTTGAGTCAGTGAATACATAATTTCTTAAACACAAAGACTAGTTCTGTAATAATTTAATTATAACAGAAGAGCAATTATTACTATGCAATTCCTTCCTCCTTTTTTAAAAAAAGAAATTAGCATATAGTTTGAACAATGAAGTTATTTATGTTTTAACATTCCATAATGCTCTGTCTCACTGATAATTTCTTATAAAGTACCATATAACACTATATTTTACTAGAAACATGTTTTAAGGTATAGGTTCAGAGAAGTTGGCCATTAATTCTGTTCTGTCTGATTAGAGACTCTGAAAATTATTAAATTAATATCTTCCATCAGTGATAAAGGGAAACAATAGCTCAAAAATATTTCATTTTCTCTTTCATTCATCTTCCTGAATATAGAAGAGTAGACTGTCATAAAGTTTTGTACCTTTGCAGACTTCATGAACAAGATTGAATTTCACCCTGAAGGGGGAAAGGATTTGGAAGTTAATTCTACTCACATGTTTACTTCATAAATGTCAGGAAAATAATTTGGCAAATGCCAGTCTGTGACTTCATTTCAGACCAGACATAATCTCCTACCCCCAAATAATCTCCTTCTTTATTATGATTAGGAAATTGCTGACAGGAAGAAAAAAACACCAGGGAAGAAGAAAGTTTTCACAATAAGCACTTGGAAACAAAACTGGAAAGAATTTGGTCTGCATGGATAGGTTTTGTAGAAGTTTGCAGAGACCCTGTGAAAATAGAAAGACTTAACACAGGTGTATAACGTGTTCTTTAAGGCAGAATTACAGAGATTACAGAATGCAGTAATTATTATTCATTCTTTTTATTATTTCTACAACATAGAAAAATACATATTTCTTTTCTACATTTGAAAAAAAACATAAAAAGCCATAAAAAATTGCTACAATTATCCAAAAAGGTCTCTTACAGTGATTAAAGATTAATTATGTACAAATATTCATACTGAAATAAAGCAGATGATTATACAGAAGTTTTGACTTAGAGGAAATAGAATTAAAATCGATGATATTAATAAATGTATTAAGGGAATAGGGGAGAGAAAAAGAAAGGGAAAAGAAGCAGAATCAGCAGTTCTAATTATTTACTGTAGTCGATTAGACTGATACTAAACGGATAAATCCCTCTGTAAGCTCAGCAGATAAATGTAAAATCTTCTGCCATTTCATGTATGGGTTATATAAATAATCAGATTTTTCCCACATGTAGGTCCAACAGAAAAAAAATCAAGCTAAATTGTAAACAATAAGTACCTGTATAACTGTGAACAAGAGAGGGGCAAGAAAATCTATTTTTCTAAGATAATTCCTTAAAAATGTTAGTGTAGTATTTGCATTGGGCAGTTATCTAGGGAATAACAGCAATCCTGCTGCAAAAACTGTCCTGTGGAATGCAGGTGAAATTTGAAAACAAAGTTTTACTTAAGGTTTTCACTGCATGAATTAGTAACAAACTGCCACAATAAGCTCATGTTACAGTAAATTGGATCATCCATTACTTAATATTGTTTTTAATTTTCAAGATAAATTCATTGTTGAATTACTCCACAACAGATCAATAAACCATTCATGCAAGCAAACCAGGCTGCAGGCTTCAGAAAGCCGTGTTCAGTTAACGACAGTAGGTTATTTTTAATTACTGTTGAAAGACTATGTTGTCTTATTTAAAGGACAAAAAATCCCAAACTTGTAGTTTCTTCTTCTATGAAGAGAGCACAAATTGTTTCATAATCAATATTAGTCAGTTAGTAACACTGCCCCTCTCTCACAAGAATCTGGCAGAAATGAAACAGTTTAATCTCTGGTCTAAATTGCAAGAGGGAGATCATGTGTGTGTGTCACATTGGCAACATGGCTCTTGCTTTAAATGTACAAACTACCATTCATTCATTTCAATATCTAACCATTTTAGTTAGACATGCTGAAAGAACACTATTGCCTGTCTTTTTGTGCAATCCTACAAGGCCAAATTACTAACACAAATTGTACTTATTTTCTGAGAAGAATTGTTGACTCAACCTTTTTTCTTAAGGACAGCTTTGCAGACAACTTTCATCCACTTTTCAGATTCAGGCCCATGTACATAAGTAACAATTATAAGTATAGTGATCAATACCTCTGTGAGAAATTAATACAATACAAAGTGAAAAATGACTTTGGAATGCTTCTAGCACTCCTCAACAACAATGAAACCTAAAATCCTCAAGCCATTAAAAGCACCGTTAGGTCACCAGGAATTTTACATCAACTCGTTGTGAGAGGCCTTTGCTACAAAGGAAATAGAGTCAAGAATGTATTGTATATCTTGAAAGGAATGTAGAAACCTATTTTTATTTCTTAGTTGAGTATTCTTAGACTCATTTCTGTGACTTTGCCTGTAATCTTGACCTCTGTTAGCTCTCACACATGAAGTTTTTAATTAAATTAAGTCTGAATGAATTCTTAGGAGAACAATTGGTGTAAGTAATAATTAACTTAGTATTTGTTAATTTCATATCTAGTTCATTAGCATGAGTTATAATTAATGACCAATCTTTTAAATTTCAGAAAGCTTCTACAAATAAAGAGCTGTCTTTCACTTTCTGAAAGCTACTCTCTTTGAAGTAAAAATAAATAAAGACAGTTTAACACCTTTTACCCCTCCCATTTTAAAGCTTTTCTTTAGGTATAGCAGAGGCAAAGTCATTAAAATAACCAGGTTTTGATACACAGTATTCAAGCATCTGTTAAAAAACTTACTGGTGTGTGGCAAAAATGTTCAAGTTTTACCCAAGTCTTTGTCATGTTAGTAATAACTGCCTATGCTACTGTGGCTCAAACTGTAGTTAAACTCTCACTGGCTTAAGAACAGAGTCTATGAGAGTTGCGGTAATTTTCTTGATCAGCATGTAATGGAATCACATTTATCTTTTTAGTAATTTTTACAGAAATTGGCCTGAAATTCCAATTTTTTTTCTTACATTCGAGGTACATTTTGAACCTTTGCAAAGGTTTTTTTCTCCACGATTTAATAGTTAACAGATGTACTTATATCTGTCCTTGGCTGAAAAATAATTTCAATCCTGACAGTCAAAAATGAGCTTTATATGATATTCTAACCACCTGCCCACAAGCAAGAAAAATCTGCTTTTTTAGAGTGTGGTACCAGTGCCAAAGCAAGCAACTTGGCTCAGCTAAGTTGGATGAGGAATGATTGCCTTCAGTTTGATTTGACCTTGAGAAATCAGAAGGTCTCAGCAATCTGCGTAACTTTGGGCATCAACACTGCAGATAATTTCCTCTGTTTGCCCAGGAGATATAAAACAAATGCCAACTCTTTTGTAAAATAGGTAGTCTACATTATGCTTAAGAGCAACTTTTCCAAACAACATAAATTGCTTTACATGGAAGTTTTCCTCATACATCCATCTCCATCAAATCCACAGAAAGAAAAAATAGTCACC